CGTATACGTATTTAAATTAATTTTTTAAATTGCTGATTAAGTATGAATAAATATTTATTTATTTGTTCATCAATAATAGATCCTATAATACAATTACTTAATTTGTGAGGCAGCAACTCAATCAAGTTGCCTGGGCAATTGAAACCCTATACTTTATTTGCAACCCTTTTAACATACATCTCGAGAAAACAAAATTTTCAATGAAAGGTATTTTGACATACCATAATTTAAGAAATATTCATTTATATAAAATTAACAGTGAAAATGACATATATATTTATTTATTTATTTATAGATGCAACCTTTGGTAATTAGTTTAATCCCAGTGAACAGAAGAACAAGCCAAAGGGCATGGCTTCTCACGGAGCTTGCAGTCACTCAATGTCTCAAAGTCTAAAACCAGTAAGTTAAATTGTTTGAATACTGTGTTTTTTAAGCATAATTTATGTCACCATTGATGTCATAACCTCAATTTATTAAGCAAAAGGTTGACATAAAACCATAGTTATGCCTCGGCAGATTGTGACAGCCCCTTTGGTGGGTTCTCCATGGCTTCAATCACAGAGTCGGATGGCCTCTTCGCAGACTGAAGAATCTAAAGTTTATAACACTTGACAAGTTACATAAGGCCACAGATTTCTATATATGCATTGACGACTCGCCACGGAGTGTGATTATTCAACTAAATTGTAACAGCAACAGGAAATTGACAACCAATGCTTCAACTTCAATTATTCAATAAGTTACTAAAATCCGAACTCAAAATTTAATTTAGTTGATTTATTCTCATACTGCATGGACTTCTTTTGTTAAAAAAATTAGGTATAAACCCAAGACTGATAAGAGCATTATTGGTGATAATTACCTTGATATGAATGATTTCATGACAATCAATGAGTTGAAGAATCTTCATTTTCTGAATAATAGAGATGAAGGTAAAGTTAAAAACATCACTTTATAACCAAGTTGCCGCGGCATGTCATTTTCCAGTTAACATAGACAGTAAGCAAAATATATTAAGTAACAGGAAGCAGAACCAATCATTTATATATGCAATGCAGATTCAACCATCACTGCTAGTTACTGGACAATTTTAAATATGTCACCTTGATAAAAAAAAAAAAGAAAATCAAATGGTTTAAGATTTTAGTAAAAATTATATATAAATTTAGTAAAATAAAAAAAATTTTACGTTTTACGTATCAATTCGTGGTATAATAATTTTCATATTTTACATTTGTTAAACATGAAATAGAAAAATAAAAATAAATAAATTGCCAAATCTGTCAGATCTAACTGATTACATGTGCCTCTGGAATATGAATTACCAAATGAATAAAACTGTTAAGTAATTAGCATAGGGGGAAAAGTCTGGTTAACAATTCTTAAGCATTCTTCTTCACCTGTTAGAGGCAGATGGTGTGTAACTGTCACTTGAAGAGAAGTCAACGATAGCTTGAAGGCGCCTGCAAAAAAATCCATTTGCCACCCTATGATCTGTAAAACTTGTGGCTGATTTAAACCATTAATCCAGTAAATGCAATAAACTTAAGTGCAAGAGAGTGGAAAACATTTATTAATTCCTAAACTTGTTGAAATATTTTCAACTCCCCTAATGTCTTTCAGAACATTTGATAATTATGATATTCTCAAAATGAGCTATAGTTCAGATGACATGAGCTCAACTGTACTTGGAAGGTGGCCACGAATGATCCATATCACTTACAATTCTCTTTCTTACAATTAATCAATCATGCACAATCAAAATTTATGTAATCATTATTTAAAAATATGAGTTTTACACAATTTTTTTATAAATCCAGATAATATTAAATTATAATTGATTAATTATTCTTTCCCAAAATAGAGACATAATGCCTTCTTCGCATGTAAAGAAGGTAAGTAGAGAAGCTGAGTTAGGGGGTAGATTAGGAAATTAAAAGAGAAATTAATAAAAGAATCAAACAAGATGTGGGAATTTTTTGGTAGTTTCGGAGTTAGATTCTTGGTCTTGGACTTTAATTTATGGTTTTCTATTTTAAAGTTTTCTTGTGGATATGGGTTGGGCCCTAATGACGATTGAGGAACAACAAACTGATAATCAGCAATTAAAAGATTATCCAAATAGTATTCCTCTTTTTTTCCTTTTTCCTTCTAATAATGCAGTAATTGAAAATTGAAATGCGTGGAATAAACTTCTTCGACAATTGAAGTCTTGCCATTATTGCAAAATTTCCTCTTGAAAATCTCATATAAAATGTTCAAAAGATGGATAAATTTTATGGATTAAAAAAAAAAAAAAAAACTCCTCAAAATCCAAACAGTTCTGTTGTTTTACATTGAATTAAAGCTTCTCAAAGGCAAAACTTAAGAAATGGGTACATATGAGGCTACAAGATAATCAATATATCATAAATTATAAAATTACTAAATTATAATTCGTGTGATACACGAAATAATTTTATTTATTTAATATAAATATATATAAATTAATTTTTTTTCAAAATTATATTCAAATCTTTAAAACTCATAATATATATAATTTATATATATTGACTTGTAATTAAAAAATAAACTTTATGAAAATAGTAAAAAAAATTTAAGTCTGTCCTTTGGATATTTTTATTTGTAATAATATTTATACACTTATAAAATTATATCAAATAAAAATAATTTTTTTAAAAAAAAATAAAAATATATATTATTAATGATAAATTAAATAATAAAAGAAGAATTAACACACTTCCACTTTAGTAATCTTGACTAAATTATTATACAAAATATGAAAGATATTAGCAAATATGTGAAAAAAAGAAAAAATAAAGTGAAAAAAAATTATTTTTCATAAGAATGAAACTGTAATAATAATAAAATATATCTTAAAAAAAATTTATAAACAAAATAAAAATAAATTGCAATAATAATAGAATATACTTTAGAAAAAAGTTACTGAAAAAATAAAAAAAATGTATAACACATTCCATTTGTAGTTTTAAATTTGTAGAAGGTTTTTTTAGTGGCAATTAAGATTAAATAGATAAATTTTAAATTAATTTTGTAAAATTTAAGATTGATATAATAAGTGATAAAGATAATATTAAATTTTTTGTATTTATTTGAAATATAAATTTGATAATTAGAGATCAAAAGAATATAATCATTTTGATATTCTTATTATTTAAAGATTTAAGATGAAAATTTTTTGAATTTTCAAAATCTTACATAAAATTACTTGAATTTTTAATGCATTACTTAAATTTTTTAATAAGATAATTTTTTTAAAAATCAAGATAAAAAAATTATTAAAAGATTTGAATAAATTTAATCTTTGTATTTTTTAAACATATTTGAAATTTTTTGATAATTAAATAATTTTTTAAATAAGGTTATTTGGTAAACAACTAAAATTATTTATTAAAAAATAAAATCCATATTTCATATTTTTAATTTTAGAATATATATCTGTAAATTGATTTGATTTTCAATTATAATTTGAATAAATTTAAAATTATCTAATTTATAATTAAAAAATTATCTTTTTTTTTAAAAAATATCTTATATATCATTTAAAAAAGTTATCCACATAAATATTTATGTGACAAATTTGTTTATGTATGTTATTATAATATATATATATATATATGGCAAAACCTAAGAAATGGGTACAATTCCTTTTAAAATTGTAATATTGGATTCAAATGAAAATCAGGTATTCATATCGCAAATTATATAATGCTTAAGATAATCAATATAGTTCTTAAGAAATTTATAAGAGAAGCACGAGAAATCTAGAGTTCAACTATTATTTTCCGATCAAAAACTTAAATCAAGTGTGACTAGCTAGAGGCCAAAGTGTTTCTTTAACAAAGACAAAATGTTCCAATATTTTATATCACCCAAAAAAATCCAACTAATTAGTTGGAATTATCATGTTTTCATATATGCTTTGCATTTTCAACACAATTTTTTTTATTATGATTAAATAAGTAAAATTCACATAAATTTTTATTATGATTAATTGATATTTTCTTGAAGTTTCATTGGAACCAGGAAAAATAAACAATTTTTCTTTTGTTTTAAGAAAGAGAGAAAGATGAACAAAATCATTTGGGGAAAAAGGCTTATTTTCCAACATCCACATTGAATGGCACTGAATATGATGCTTCACACAACTGCCTTTATTTCCTCGTCCTTTTGACTTGCCCACAAGCTTCTTCTGTTTGAAAATGATTTACGCGAAGATTTATATAAATGAAATTTGTTGAGTTTTTATTAAAAATAAATAAATAAAATTAAAAATTAAAATTGATAGATTGAAAAATTTTATAATACAAATTAAGTATATGAAATTTGAAAAAAAATTAATAAATTTTTATATATTTATTAAATAAATATTTTTAGTAAAAATATCGATAAATTTTTCTTATTAAATAAGTGTCGATAAAATTTAAATTATAAATAAATTTTTTAATAATTTTTTTATATATTATCGATTTTTATATTGAATTTTATTAATTTATAGATTTGAATTTTTTATTTATTTATTTTTAATAAAAAATTTCACAAATTTCACTTATAAAATTTAATGTAAGTTTTGTCCCTTATATTTCTAGCTACACCAATTAAATGTGCTGCCTACTTTTATATTCTTGGGAGAACATGGGCATCTTTTGCAAATGTCTTTATAATTTTTTTTTACCAAAATTGAAATTCAAAATCTTAAAACTTTTTTAAAAGAAAATTCTTAGAAATAATTTAGATTCTGCTAACGACTTTCTAAAATTAATTTTTCGATTTCTACTTGTAAATTTTCACAATAAAGCATTTCAGAATTAATAAATAATTTAATTCAAAAACATGAAATTTTGCTTACATTACTACACATTTTACATAAAAATTTACATCAAACCATACCTATTCCAAAGTATTGCTATTTCCATGACCGTTTATGCAAAAGCAAGTTACCTTTGTCTTATTTAACTAATGACACACAATCCCTTCCTCACAAGGAAAAACAACAAAAAATGCAAAATTAGCCAAAACAAGTGTGGAAATAACATAATTCGATAATTACACAATTAAAGAATTTTGGCAGTAGAATTTTTTTATAAAATCTTAGAAACTATATCTTGCGATAATCTTGATGATGATAATGATGATAACAACGAAGGAGATGATGATCAAGGACACTGTGGATTGTTCCCCGGCCCTCCATAGTAGAAATATGTGCCCCATTCATTGTCGTAGGAGCTCTTGATATTGTAACAATTTGTATTCTCAGCTAGGGTTGATATGTCATGGACGGAACTCAAGCTATTATCGGCATCAACAACCTCCAGGTTCCGAAAATAGCTTGATTTTCTGAAACCGTCTTCGGCGAAGTGACCGGAGCCCATCTGCGTTGACGTATGCTTGCCGTTGGCCCTTGAGTTCACCACCTCACCACCCCATTCTACCATGGTGGCATGGTCTGCTAGGTGAGTAAATAGCTCAGCTGGCCAATAACCTACAAGGGTATTGTCACCAAATCCCATCCACCAATTTCCTTGCTTCGGATCCTAAAATTGAAAGGACAGGAAATTAATAACTTCAACTTATACCTGAAATATATAAATTTAATTGCAATATTAATTGTTAAATTAAAATTGTAAAAAAAAAATTAGAATAAATGTTAACTATAAATAGTTATTTACCTTCCAAATAAGGATGGTAATGTCATATTGATTTGCAGCATATTGTGAGACAGGAGAAATGGCAGCCCCAATGGCAATTCTACTATTTGTTTGGACAAAGCCTGAACATAGAAGGTTGTAGCATCCAGTTGCTTGATAGGAATCAGCCTGTAAGAAATTAAAAAAAAAAAAAAGAACAAATAATGTAATTAATATAATTGCACAAATAATTCCAACAAATGTATTAATCTCTTTTCCAAAAAAAAAAAAAAAAAAAACAAACAAACAAAATTTCAGAAGTACTACATGCTAACAATGATATATCTCTTAGTCCTAATTGATGTATAAAGTGTCACAAAAATTTAAGATTTATCTCAATTAATTCAAGTGGTTACCCTTAAAATATGACATTAATAGATTTGGGATTCAATCTCATCACCTATAATCTTTTTATTATTATTTTTTTAAATTGCGACATCTTTTGTATAAAAAAAAAAACCACCCACAAAAAGAAACTTGAAAAAAAAATCAACCCACCATGTATAATAGATATTCCAATCTTCTTAGCATATAAATGCTCAACATAATGAATAAGAATATTAATTAATGTTCACTCCATTTTATGAAAGTAATAACTTACATAAAATCTTGAATCTACTTAATAAATAAATGCCAAATTCCATCAAATAAATGAAGTTGTCTTTAACTTCAGACATATAAAAAAAAGTTGTTCAGAAGCATAAATCAAGCAATCAACGTTTTCTCTCAAGATAGTTATGAACAGTGCTAAAAAGTGAAGTACTAACAGTTTAATTTTGATTAATGTTTTTTTTGTCTACTTTTCCTTGAAGCCAACCAACCTTTACATTCTTGTACAATAAATTTTTTTTTATTACAATATATAAAAACAATTTAAAGTAAAAAAAAAAATGTTTGGAAGAATGTCCTGCCCACAAAAGTTAATTTAAAGATTCTGCAACAATAATGGAGCCTTAGTTGGTTGGTTTCAATTAATTATTTTTGCATGGCTTTTTTTTATTTGGTTTTTATTGAACTTTAGCTTTAAGAATGGTTAACTAACCAGCTTTAAGTAAGTATTCGATTTTTTTAGGTTAAAAAAAAATCATTTTTTTAGAATAAAAAAATCTATTAAAATTTACTTTTAAAAATGATTGTATGAATTAACTAAAATAAATACTAAACTTTAATCATTTAGTCTTTTAGCAAACAAGCCTTTTCATTTGAGAACACTTTTTGATTAAACATTCTTACAAATTAATTATTTCATGAGCTGCAAACAAATTAAATCAATAATGCAAGATGCCTATGATTCAACACATTTTCCTTGCATCTTTGAAACCCTTTTCTTTTAAGAAAAGTTTAAAAAAAAATACCCATATGCATAACATGTCTGAATGACATTTTAAAAAATCATTATTGTTTGATCATTAAGTTTTCACAAACATAGTTCCCTATAATTAATCTGTTAACTTAGTTTCAAACAATTATTTATAATTTGTATAAAGTTTTGAGTTCAAATTCAAGCGATTTGTTTACTTTGAAATTCGCATTTATAACAAAACAACAACCCTAGATCAAGGTGACTTTAAAATTATGAACATGCATATTGCATCAAGATCTAACCACATGTATGCATGCACATGAATAATTCCATATCTTTTTTCATGCATATCATTGATATAACAATTAATTATTATTGGCCATTTGATCAGCCATAAAAATATATAATGACTTGTCAAAATTTTAATTTTAATGTAAACTTATAGAAAACTTACCGTCCAATATGTGAATAATCTTGGCCTGCTGTCACCATAAAGCTCCGGACTGACCTGACTAGTAGAATCATCAAAACTTCAAAGACTCTAATATCAATTTTTTTTCCTTTTTAGTTATAAATAAAATATTATTATTGCATGTTGAATTGAGTATTTATATTTAACAAACGATTTATTTATTCGACTAGTGCTTAATTTAAATAATTATTATTTAAATAACATATATCCATCACATATTGACATTAAAAATCATAAAATTTTTAATTTTAATATTAAATATATTAAAATTAAAACTTATTTTAACTTCGTAAAAGTTAATACTGCCAAACAATTTAGGATGGAGGGAGTAGAATTATATATCCACATTTAAAGCAGAATTTTAAATTGAATAAATAATAATAATAATTATTGTTTATTATTATGCAATTGAAGGAAGGGAATTTAGAAAAAAAAAAAAAAAAAGGTGCGGGATTATGTGCTTGTATGGACAGCAAATGAAGGAGTACCTGCCATCCAGCTTCTATACTGTTGAGATCAGGGCCGTCGAATGATCCCGAAAGAATCCAAATCTGTGATAGGCTGAACTCGTTGACCTCTTGGACTGATGGGTCCCACACGTTTATAGTTGCCTTTGCCCCAAAGACCTCTTGGGATGTTCCAGTATATGCAATCGCATGCTGAAAATGTGCGCATGCATCAGTTACCATCCAATTCTGACTAGTTTTTTACTTTTTATGCACAAATTGAGTTATCAAAGGAGAAAAATACTACTCCCAAGAATTTAAGTTTATGGAAATATCACAATTTCATGGAGCCCTTTTAAGGGGAAAAATAATTTTTTTTTAATTTTGAATTAATCTTATCAAAAGTTAATTTTGAAAATTTTTCGTATTTGTTTAAATTTGTTTTTATATTATTTTTTTATGATAACAAAACTTTAATTTAAATTAAATTTAATGTAAGAAAACTTGCGTACTTCGTGTCCGTTGCCGCCGCCGACGTCCGGCGCATCGGCACGGCGAGTAGGGTTGATCAATCCGCGTTGTTTCTTGCCAAAGTCAAACAAAGACTTGGCTCTCAAAACATCATGCAATGTGCTCCGCCGTATGGGAACCGTTCCCTTCGGACATGTTGTCCCATTCCTATGCCACATTTGCCATGCACCCTTAGTTGCTGCCTCATTAGTCCTTGAATCCCTTGCCTCTTCTTGTTTCAACTTTTTCACCTTTGGCATCTCTGCTGGAACTCTCTGTTACATTATTAAACATAAAGTTAACTAATTTTTTAATGAAAGAAGACTCAAATTTTGGTAAAATTTAAGCCTTGTTTACTAATTAATTAGGCCCCAGGCCCCCATTTGAACGTATGGTCCACGTTAACAGTGTAATCTACGAGTTAATATAGTAAGAAAATCAAATTTGAATTTAATTTAAAATTTATTATTCGAAATTAAATTTGAATTAAATTGAATTTTAATTTTTAAGTTTGAATGGACTCTAAATAAAAAAAATTATTTAAATTCATTCGATTAAATTCGTTTAATAAAAATGATTTAATGTTTATATTCGATTTTAAATTCAATTATATATATATAGGTAAAATAATAATTTTTAATTAAAATAATAAAAATATATTAAAATTTAAATTTAAACTTACGAAACTATTCGAGTTATATTCTAAAATGCTCAAACTTTTTATTAGATAAGTCAAGTTGCTCGAATTTAAGTTTTATTTAATCATAATCAAATCAAATTTAAATTTTATTCTAATTAAATTTAAATAATTTATAAATATTAATGTATTATTTATGCTTGATGAAGTAAATCTCACTGCGTTGTGAATGTCATATACGATTGAACTTTTAAAGGTCCAGTCAATAGAACAACGTTCACGGCAGGACGAGAGTATACACCACGCATACAAAGGAACTTTAGAAAAACAAAAATTTTAAGTCATGTTTAGTAAAAAATAATAAAATGGTTTTGATATTTATATTAAAAAAATAAAAACTTTAAATCAATCCCATTTTTGACAAAGATTGAGAGAAAAAATAAAAGAGAAAAAGGGAGAAATATAGGTTTTGATATTTTTACCTGAATCTTGTGATTTTTCAAAAGAGGATGATCTAAAGCTGGTTGTTTTCTTTTATGGACACAATCTATTATATCTCCATCTGGGCTCTGAAAATATCAAACAACAACACCAAAACAAGAAACTTCGTGAGAAATATGGGAGAAAATTATTATTAACATGTAGCTAGGGCAATGGTTTTTGCAAGTGACTGACTGAGAAAGAAGTATTTATATATACCTCAATGGTCATGAGAGCAGGCTTGTTAATCTTTTCCAAGTGTTTTTGAATTCTTTCAAGCCTCAAGCTACTCACTGGCCTATACTTTGTGTAATTTAGGCCTGAAACAAGATCGAATTTCGCGACAAAGAGGAAAGAGAGAAGAAGAAGATGATGAAGATGAAGATGAAGATGAAGACGAAGACGAAAACAGAATGAAATTCCTCTCTTCTTGGCAACAATGTTAAAAGCCATTATTTCATTCAGTGCCAAAGGATAAACAAAAAAAAAAAAAAAGTGAAGGGGATGCTATCAAATCATACCAAGAAAAAAAAAGGCAATAGCTGAAAACAACAAGACTTTCTTCCTACAACAAGAGACACAACACAAGAAAAGAAAGGAAGAAAATGACAAAAAAAAATTTTTCTTCTGTCTCTCTATCTTTAATGGGGAGAGAAGGGAGGTGGGCGAAGGGGTGAATTAACCATAAACTGTGAACACAGGCAAAGCCTGCAGGCCACCTTCCTCTTTCACTATCAAAATCATGATTGTCTGCTTTGGATTCATATAATGAATAAATATATTTACATTTTTATTGATAACCCCATTTTTTATTGCCCATAATTTGCACCAAAAGCAAAGAAACAAGAAAAAGAGGAAGAGACTTGAAGGCACTAATAAAACCCAGACCTACCCAACTAAGCAGGTCCCCTTTTTTTATTGCTGTACTCCTTCAATGTTTGTATCTACCACCATATACTTCGCCATTAATATTTTTTCTTGTCCTTTTTCATTTATTTTTTTTGCTCTTTTATTTACATAAATTCTTATATGTACACACCCAACCTTATGGTTGCTGCTCTTTTGCTTTTCTTTACTTCTCAGCCTCCCCAATATTTCCTTTGTTTGTACCTTCTTTTGAACTCCAAGTAGCACCCAATTGGCACCTAACTATGGGTATAATGTATCCAAATTTGACTATGAAATGTTACCATCTTCCCCCCATCTGTACCTCAAATTTAATGAACATTTTTCGAACATTCCTTTGCATAACAAACTTTTTTTTTTGTTACCTTCATATACATGTTATTGAAATTTTAACGCATCAACTTCAACTTTCTTCTGATCGAATGATAAATCAACCGAATAGAAAAATATCCGTTATCTTTGTGAATATTAAAATGTTTGGTAATCTGTAAATATGTTGCATGTAATAAAATAAAGTTTGAAGTTTCAAATTATGATGAACATCTTTATATTGTCTAATTTATTGAAAGTGTTAGATTTCATAATAATAATAATAATAATAATAATAATAATAATAATAATAATAATAATAATAATCAGGCAAAATGATTAAAAAAATCCCTGAATTAAATTAATAATTATTTAAATCCTTAATATTTTTAATTTTATAATCAAGTAAACTCTTAAATATCTATTTTTACCAATTAAGCTCTTATTAAATGAAAAATGCTAATAAAAGATTTAATGCCGAATTAATCACAATAAAATATTAAAATTTTAAATAATTATTAAATTTTTGTTAGAAGTTTTTAATCATTTCCTTTATAACTAGTAGTATCTCGAGTTAATTTGCAATTTGAGGTGTGGTGATGAAACCCAAGGAAAACAAAAAAGAGTGTTGTTTGTTGAAATTTTAACAGATTGGGGAGGCTTCTACGCTTGTAATTTCTTCCAAATTTAATTTAATTTTCTTTGGTGTTATGAAATAGAAGCAATCGATCCCTTGAAGTGTGCTATAGAACACTCATATCCATGTGGGAATGGCATTAATGGAAAGAAAACAACGATACAAAAATATTTAATATTATTAACATATTTTGATTCGAGCAATAAGAAATTCGGTTTCCTTTAAATGATATCTCGATTTCAAATTTTATGAATGAAAAAAATAAGCATTGAAAGAGATTGTCACCTCATGGGATTCGACTTGACTCGATTTCGAAATAATCGAGACCCAAAATAACTACTAAATATCAATGATGTCAGATAAAAAAAATATTTAATATTAAAAAACATGAATTATTAAATGAATGTAAATTATAAGCTTTTTTTCGGTTCGATCCGACTTGATTTCGAAATAATCGGAGCCGAAATAATTATCAGATACTGAAAAGTTTTAAATAAAAAATTAATTTAATATTGAAGAATATGAATTATTAAATGGATGTAAATTGTAAGCTTCTATTCTCGAATCTCGAATTCTTCTCTGCTCATTCAAGATTGAAGACAATTTTGTTTTGTCAGCCTCCTTTACCAACCGGGAACTCTGGTTTTGACTGAAAGAGTAAAAAATTAATACTGTAATGACCTATATGCCCCAATTTCGTATTTTTAATACTTTCTGACCATGTTCATTATAATATTATATTGTTCGGCTTGACCTCACTTAGTTGAGGTTTTTCTTTTTATAATGGAAATTATTATAAATTAAATTTTGATTATTAAAATTAAAATTTTAATACTCTATTAATAAATTGCATTACTGATTACTAAAATTATTATTCTTAATTAAAATTTGAGATTTCATCTCTTACAATTTAGAATTTGAATTTTTCAATAGACAAGTAGTTTAAGGATCGAGAAAAACGTACCTATCATCTCAGCATTACTTATATTGTAAACCCGATGAATCTAATTATATATTCTTTACAAACTTCAGCTCATTTCTATAAAACTGGTTTAGTTTCTTCTGTTTATATTATTCACTTTTGGGCAGCTAATCTTGTTGGTTTGCTTGGCTAGCATAATTGTTATTTCGATGGATTTTATGCTCTCATTTTGGTGCGGCCATCAATGCATTGATTACAAGGTTTCCTGGGTAAATAAAGTTTGTATAAAAGGGATTATTTAAATTTGAAGATTAATTCAATTAATTCATATAATCATTTTTAAGAAGTAACATATAATAAATTTGAAATTCTCTATTTTGAGTTTGCTATTTCATTTGTACCAAAAAAAAAAAAAGTTTTACATAAAGATTTATTAAGTATTTTCCCTATAATATTTGGGCAATTCAATAAAGAAATTCTTTCGTGGATTTCAACAGATACCCAATAAAAGTCAGCTTCTGAATTAATTTTATAATTAATAATCTACTACTTTTAATAGGATGAAAATTGAGTTTTCTAAAGCTTACAACATGATTTTTATGGATGTGATCTCATTAAAGCAAATTTTAATATTATAGGACCGAATTTTGTTCTTTAGTTGCATTAAAATTACCTCTACGTTGCTGTTATAATAGTTTTGAGATCGCTAGATGAAAAAAATTTTAAAATTAAGAAAAATAAAAAAAGTCGTCATCAATTTTTTTTAGAGTGTAATTGATTAACTAAAAGTTTATCTTTTTAATAAAATTATAAAAGCAGGTTTAAAATTTATCAAAAAAATAAATTTCAATCTACGAAAATAGATTAGGTCCAAGAGTTAGTTACGTGTGGGAAAGAATTAGCACTTTCACAGCGCCCATAAATTGATACAAATTAATCATGCGTTAGTTTTAGTGTTTGATGATATAATTTTGATTTGAAATTTAATAATAATTTCTTTTTATTATTTAAAAAAATTAATTTTATCAAATTCTTTGTTTATGAGTGTCATAACGTCTAGATCCGGGGATCTATCGCTAGACATTGACTTTTAGGGAGTCGCCACCAATCTTTTTTATCTAGGTGCGATTGGCCACCTAAAGAATCTGTCCTTCCAGGGAACACCTAAGTTTAAGGGTCCCTAGAAGAATAGGTTCAGGTCTGCTAACCAGAACAGGGTTCGGGAGTTCGGTTACGTGTGAGGAAGGTTATAGCACCCTCACAACGCCCATCAAAAGATGGTACCAGCTTGAATTTGTGTTATCCAAAAGCCTTAAAATTTTACCAAGTAGTTAGTTGTTGAAAATTATTCTCAATTGACTCTAATACTTTTAGCAAAAAATTGAAAAAATTCCCTCACCTCAAGAGTATGCAAGAAAAACTACTGTTTCACTTACAGAGGCTCCGTCGTCGGATTATTTAAAGAAAAAAAAACAAAATCAAAATTAAGATAGAAAGGAATGAAAGAATGATTTTTTTTTTGTAGGGAAAATTGATACTTTCAACTTTTCCCTAAAAATATTTTTTGGAAATTTCGATTTTCAAGGAAAATTGATACTTTCAACTTTTCCCCAAAAATATTTTTTTTGGAAATTTCGATTTTCAAGGAAAATTGATACTTTCAACTTTTCCTCAAAAACCCTTTTTTTGAAAATTTATTTCTAAGGAAAATTGATACTTTCAACTTTTCCCCAAAAATAGTTTTTGGAATTTTATTTCTAAGGAAAATTGATACTTTCAACTTTTCCCTAAAAATATTTTTTTTTAGAAATTTATTTTTCTTTTAAAGAAAATAAAATAATAAAAAATAAATAAAAAGAATATTACATAAACCTAATCTAATAAATAAAAATTAAAATAAACAAAGAAATAAAAAAAATAAAAAAAATTCAAAGAAAGAAGAAAAAAAAAAAAAAAACCTGGAGCGGCTTGGATCGCGGCTCGGCTCGGCTCGGCTCAAGGAAGAGAAAACGGCTCGGGGGAGCGACTTGGCTCGGCTCGGCTCAGCTCGGAGGGAGCTGGCACGCGCGGGTCAGAAAGCGGGTCGACGCCCGAGTCGGGTCGGGTCGGGTTCGGCAAAACGCGCGGATCCCCTGGTTAACTTAAAGCCAAAACGACGTCGTTTTGGAAGGGTATAAAAGGCACCTTCCTCCGTTTTTCGGCAGAACGCTCCTCCCCCTCTCTCTCTTCTTCCTTTTTCTCTCCCTTCTCTCTAGAAACTGAAGAACACCGGTGCCGGATTCTGGAAAATGTCGCCGGAATCTGGAAATTTCGCCGGAAGTTGGCCGGAAGATCGCCGGTTTCTGGGATTCTTCGCCGAAAACTGGGCAGGTCGCCAGAAACTTCAATGTTGGCCGGAATTTTAGTCGGAAAATTTAAACTTCGCCGGAATTTTCGCCGGAATCTGGAAATTTCCAGAAAAAATTTTCGCCAAAAATTTCTAAAAAAATTTTTCTCACTCCCAGAACACTCCTAAACTTTTTCTAGCTTCCTATACGCCTCTTTTTCTCTCAAATCAGTAGCTTTGCTTACTGTTTTCTGTGTTTTTCTCTGTTCCAGGGGGATCCCTTTTATAGGGGTTGATCAGGAGTTCCTGATCAATCCCAATTCCTCCTTGGACGGGAATTCAGTCTTTGAATC